TAGGCATGAAAGCTAGCTGGATGTCTTTGGGCCAATCACCAGGAGACGGTGAGTTCTAATCCCGCCTTAGGCATGAAAGCCACCTTGGGTGAGTCCATCTTTTTCGCTCTCTCAGCCCTATCCACCTCACAGGGTTGTTGTTGTGGGGAAAATAGGAGAAGGAAGCTGTTCTATGTTCTCCTCCTTGAGTTATTATACAAACCAACAATGGAAAAAAAATTCCTGGATGGTAATCTGGATTATCTGTGGCATGATTTGTGCTAGAATCAGCCTTGGTCTCTAGCCTTATGGAACACCTTCTCCTCCCCACTCCCTCCCTGCAGAATCAAAAAGGGGGTCTCCATCTCACCCCACCCCCTCCAGCCACAGTACCAAAGGAGCGAAGGCATTTCTCAATCAGCTCCTCCAGAGTGCAGGAACGGTTCAGTTCTCCCAGGCTGATGCAGGCCAATGCCTGGTTGATCTCCCGGGGGTTGGGGCAGGTCATATGGCGTCGGCTTTTCCGCCGGTAGATCTTACTGGCTCCAGGGAGGGTGCTGGAATCCATCCTACCAGCGGCCTCGGTCCGCGATCTCCTGCAAAAGCAACAGCTCTGCTTATTGGCCATCGTCAACAAACTTGGGAGAATCCCAGAGGTGGTATTCAGCTGGTTCACACCGGTTCCGGTGTACCGGTAGCAAAAATTTTGACTGGTTTGGAGAACCGGCAAATACTGCCTCTGACTGGTCCCGCACACCTGCCTCTGCTCTTACCTCTCCTATATTCTGTTGTTTCTTAGCTCAGCTGACTCGCGTGGCAGAGCGGATTGCTGCGCCTCAGCGGAGCTAAGAAACAGCTGTAGGTCGGTCTTAGACTCATTTGTGCGAGCACCCAGCATAGAACCGCGCATGTAGCTGATGATGAAGTTCTACAGAGGAATGATGGAGTCTGTCCTGTGCACTTCTATAAGTGTCTGGTTTGGTCCTGCAACCCAACAAGATAGATACAGACTGCAGAGAGTAAATAGGACTGCAGAAAAAAACATTGCTACCAATCTACCTTCCATCGAGGACCTGTATGCTGCACGAGTCAAAAAGAGGGCTGTGAAAATATCCACAGACCCCTCACATCCCAGACATAACCTGTTTCAACTCCTGACGCTAGAACAACTAGACACAAGGAGAGTTTTTTCCCGAACGCCATCACTCTGCTAAACAAATAATTCCCTCAGTGCTGTCCAACTATTTACAAAGTCTGCACTACTATTACTGTTAATCTTCTCATCACTCCTCATCACCCCTCCCCTCCCACTTGTGACTGTTGGACTGTAACTTTGTTGCTTGTATCCTTACAATTTATATGGACTGTTTCCTAGTATGATTTGATTGCTTATTGTACCCTATGACTATTATTAAGTGTTGGACCTGATGATTCTTGACTCTTGATGAATGTCTCTTTTCTTTTATGAACCCTGAGAATATTTGCACCAAGACAAATTCCTTGTGTGTCCAATCACACTTGGCCAATAAAGAATTCTATTCTATTCTATTCTGTTCTGTTCTGTTCTGTTCTGTTCTGTTCTGCTCTGCTCTGCTCTGCTCTGCTCTGTTCTAAATTCTATTCTATATTCTATATTCTATATTCTATATTCTATATTCTATATTCTGTTCTGTGTTCTGTGTTCTGTGTTCTATGTTCTATATTCCAAATTCTATATTCTATATTCTATTTTATTCTATTCTGTTCTATTCTATTCTATTCTATTCTATTCTATTCTATTCTATTCTATTCTGTTCTAAATTCTATTCTATATTCTATATTCTATATTCTATATTCTATATTCTATGTTCTATGTTCTATGTTCTATATTCCAAATTCTATATTCTATATTCTGTTCTATTCTATTCTATTCTATTTTTAATTCAGCCCACCTCCTTCTCTGCCATCCCCTTCTTCTTCTTTTGCCCTCAACCACTCCCAGCATTCAGCTCTTCTCCAGCGAGTCCTTCCTTCTCACGAGGTGGCCAAAGTCTTTGAGCTTCATCTTCGGGATCTGGCCTTCTCAAGACCAGTCAGGGTTCATCTCCTCTTGGGCTGACCGGTTGGGTGGCCTTGCAGTCCAAGGGACTCGCAGGAGCCTTTTCCAGCGCCATAGAGTTAAAGGTAAAGGTTCCCCTCACACATTCATGTCTGGTTGTTTCCGGCTCTAGCGGGCGCTGGTGCTCATCTCCGTTACAAAGCCAAAGAGCCAGCGCTGTCCAAAGACGTCTCCGTGGTCAGGTGACCGGCCTGACTGAATGCCTTCGAAGGCGCACGGAACGCTGTTCCCTTCCCACCAAAGGGGTCCCTATTTTTCTACTCGCATTTTTTTTGTTTACATGCTTTCGAACTGCAAGGTTGGGCAGAAGCTGCTGGGACAAGGAACGGGAGCTCACTCCGTGATGCAGCACTAGGGATTCGAACCGCCAAACTGCCAACCTCTCTGATCGACAAGCTCAGCGCTGCTGATCCTTAAAGAAGACCCCTCTTCAACTTTGCAGATGACGGTAAACCACCCAACTTGACGCAATATGTGGATGTGCTCAACTTCCTTGTGTGTAGAGACAGCACAGTCCCTCCCTGCCTGCCTGCCTTCTCAGTCAAACCAGACCTCTCTGCTTTGATCTCCGGGCGGAAAGCCAGCCTGTCTTTTGTCCGGGTGTCTCATCTCCACGACGCTGGGAGCCCTTATCCTACACTCTGATCAGCGGGAGTGTGTACTGAATCCAAACCGAGCATCTTTTATGCTCTTCCGCCAAGCAGAATCAGGAACTGGCCGTGCACCGCGAAGCTTCTTTGCAAAATCTCCACACCGCCTTACTCCGAGTCAAATAATTCTGCTCAGCCTCAACAGCAGAGATAGATCCGTGCAAAGGTGTTTGACGTGTTTTTGGCAAGTTAGCTAGTGAAATAGAAGACCGTGTAAATCTGGCGTGGGATCCTAAAGACCGTAAATGCAACAATAGAAGAGACATATCTGCAGCTCAGGATTCAACCGTCCTTTTCTCTGAGCTTGGTGGTTTTCTCGTGGACGTTTCATGACCAATTCATTAACACCTCCAGCTCGCGCTGATGATCTTACCTAGTTTGACAATGAAACGTCTACAAGAAAAGCACTGAAGCTCAGAGAGCCCCAAGGGCCTCCCCCCCTCCCGGTCTAAATATAATCTTCGTCTCTAAAATAGAAGATTGAAGATTACAAGCTTCAATTGCACAAGGACAATTCAATTCTTTTGAAATGAGCTTAGGAAGGTAACATGAAACCAAGCCCACATCCCGAAAGAAAGAAAGAAAGAAAGAAAGAAAGAAAGAAAGAAAGAAAGAAAGAAAGAAAGAAAGAAAGAAAGAAAGAAAGAAAGAAAGAAAGAAAGAAAGATTTTCGTTTAAGGTGGGAAAAAACTTGAAATTTCCAGATGTAGCTGGGGCAGATTATCCAGGACCCATCCGCCCTTGAGTGGAAGTATGGTTGCATCTTACCTCCCTCCCTCCCTCCATCCCATGATATGCAGTGGTTAGAGTGCAGCATTGCAGGCTAACTCTGCCCACCGCCAGCAGTTCAATCCTGACTGACTCAAAGTTGACTCAGTCTTCCATCCTTCCAAGGTCGGTAGTACTATTGCTCTTCCTTCCTTCCTTCCTTCCTTCCTTCCTTCCTTCCTTCCTTCCTTCCTTCCTTCCTTCCTTCCTTCCTTCCTCTTTCTCTCCCTCCCTCCCGCCCTTCCATGGTGCACAGTGGTTAGAGTGCAGCATTGCAGGCTAAATCTGCCCACTGCCAGCAGTTCAATCCTGACTGACTCAAAGTTGACTCAGTCTTCCATCCTTCCAAGGTCGGTAGTACTATTGCTCTTCCTTCCTTCCTTCCTTCCTTCCTTCCTTCCTTCCTTCCTTCCTTCCTTCCTTCCTTCCTTCCTTCCTTCCTCTTTCTCTCCCTCCCTCCCGCCCTTCCATGGTGCACAGTGGTTAGAGTGCAGCATTGCAGGCTAAATCTGCCCACCGCCAGCAGTTCAATCCTGACTGACTCAAAATTGACTCAGTCTTCCATCCTTCCAAGGTCGGTAGTACTATTGCTCTCCCTCCCTCCCTCCCTCCCTCCCTTCCTTCCTTCCTTCCTTTCTCCCTCCCTCCCTCCCTCCCTCCCTTCCTGCCTCCTTCCCTCCATTCCATGGTGCGCAGTGGTTAGAATGCAGCCTTGCAGGCTGATTCTGCCCACAGCCAGGAAGTTCAATCCTGACCGGCTCAAGGTTGACTCAGCCTTCCGTCCTTCCAAGATCAGTAAAACGAGGACCCAGATTGTTGGGGGGGGGGGGGCAAGAGGCTGGCTCTGTAAACCGCCTAGAGAAGGCCGTAAAGCCCTGCGAAGCTGTATATATAAGTCTAAGGGCTATTGCAATTGCTTTTTTCTGGAGAGGCTCCACTGATGGCCCGCAACAGACCGCTGAAGCAAACTGCTTGCAACCCTGGGCCACGATCTTGCACAAGTTCCTCAAATGTCCATTTCAAGAGCTTGGCACGCACATATCCTGGCATGCATGCACACACACACACACACACACACACACACACACACACACACTCTGCAGCCTCATGTTGACTGGCTGTGCCTCAAGGAAAATAGGAGGCACGGTGGGCATTTCTGCCAAGTGCCCCCTCTCAGCCCCAAGGAAAGACCCTCTTCCGTCAGCCTGCGGCCCTTCCCTTCCCCACTACCCCCTCCCTCCACCCTACCCCAGCTCTCCAGTTTCCCCTCCGCTGTCTTGTTGCCTGCTGCATCTTGCCGATCTCGTACTAGGAAGTTCCCTCTTGAAGCAAAACCACTTCCAACATCTCGAAAAACATCGCCGAGCTGCAAACGCCGGCTAGCCCGGGCTTGAGATGCGATTTGAGTCGTTTATTTAAGATTTTCGTTCTGATAAACGGCAGGGCGGTGGCTACCACAGATGCAAAGGGTTCCAATCCTTCCGACGGGCCTAGGCACCGGATCGTAGGGGGCCCCGAGGGTGCCGTCCGTCAACATTACCCAAATGTGACAGCTGTCACCTCCCAATTTCAAGCTGGCTCTTTCCCTCTGAAGTTGTATGCCAGGTTGAAAAGAAACTTACCTGCGGGCGTTCAGCCATAAGGGGCCCCAGGTTGCAGGTAAGAAGTAAGAACGAAGTGCCAGGTAAATAGATCGTCTCGCCTGCTTTTCTACGCAGTGGGAGAACTCCCGAGTAATTCCAGAGAGAGGAAAAAATAGCCCTTTTTTTTCCCCAGGACACAAAGGAAAGAAGAAAAAAAATCTCGGCCCCCTTTTTAAGTTTCGGGCTCGGCAACCTAAAACTTTCCAGATGCCCACTAACCCGGTGCCTCTCCCAAACTGGCACCTTGTGAAAGATGAATTTCATATGGGAGGGCGACTCCTTCTTTTCCACACCAATGCAAAAGAGGAGAAGTGACAAAACGAAGTTGTGTTCACCTTACTCACAATGACACGGAACTTAGAAAGCACCAAGAAATTCCCGGTGACTAAGAGGAGGAGAAAGACAAGGAAGGTTTCAAGCCGTCCGGCTTACCGCTTGCTCTCCCGTCGTATCATGGTTCTTCCTTGTTTTTGGCTAGCTCACCGGGGTCCTTTTCCTTTTAGCCTGCCGTTGTGACCATTAGGGCGGGTTGCCTCCTTCGCTTGGAATTTCTCTGCCAAACGCCAGAGACGTTTCCGTCAGCGTGAGCGCGGCACAGACAAGTCGGACGGCTGAGATGCTAGCTGGCTGCAAGGCAGCTGAGTCAAAAACCAACTGGTTGGTTTTGTGCTGATGTGGAGTTAAAAGGAACTGGATTACACATGTGATGTGGGGTGTGTGTGTGTGTGTGTGTCTGGAAAAAAGTAGAACTAAATCTTAGTTTTCACTCTATGGCTAGTCAGAGAGGTTCCTGCACATTAGGCCAAATCCAACAGGTGCAATTTTTTTCCCCTGTGATGGTGGTTTTAACTCTACAAGGTAGAGTTAAGTCCTCAACTTACAGCTGATAGTTCAGTCATCCTCTCATTCTATGACCCCTAGAATCCCTTGCGGGCTGGAGTCTGGACAACTGAAAGGAGCTGAGTATTTACTGGCCAGATGCCCTTCTTGTCACCGATGCGGACTTATATTCGGCAGGTAAATTCTCATCGTGAGCAGAGGGAGAAATATCTGCCTCTACCCGGGATTGAACTCACAGCCTCCTGATGGTGAGACGAGAGCTCCAGTTCTAAGTCACCGCACCACTACAACTGATAGTTTAGTCACCCTGTTGTCAAGTTACAACAGCATGGAAAAAAGGGGCCTGTGATTGGTCCTTGCCCGTACTGCTGTCATTGTATTCCCCATAGCAACATGGTCAAAATTCTGCTGCCTGGCATAGATTTATGACCGTTGCCATGTCCTGGGTTCAAGGGTTTGCCACTTGCAACCTTCCCTGCCAGCTTCCAACCAGCCAAGTCAATGGGGGAAGCCTGATTTGCTTAAATGACCATGTGATTCACTTAACAACGGTAGTGATTTGCTGAACGATGGTGGCCAACACGGAATAAAAACAGGCATGGCTCATTCAGCAACTGCCTTACTTAGCCCTGCAAATTCTGCCCCCAATTCTGGTTGTAAACTGAGGAGTACTTGTACAGATAGTTCTCGACTTACAACCGCAATGGCACCCCCAAATTTCTGTCGCTAAGTAAGACATCTGTTCAGTGAGTTTTGCCCCATTTTTGCGACCTTTCTGGCCATCCTTGTTAAGTGAATCCCTGCAGTTGTTACGTTAGTCACACGGTTCTTAAGTGAATCTGGCTTTCCCGGTGAGTTTGCTCATTAGAAGCTCATTAGAAGTCATTGTAACCGTCATAAATCCTTTCCTCTTTCTTCTTTCCTCTCCTCTTCCCTCTTTTATATTTCCTTTCCTTTCCTTTCCTTCTCTATTTCCTTTTTCCTTTTATTCTTTCTCTCTCTGCTGCCCACCTGCAGGAATTTTGAGAGCCGTAGTCAGGCCCCGAGTCCACCCGCTGAGCTGAACCAATGACCATTTTTCTAACCGTGCCTCGTTGACCAAACCTCCCTTAGCATTTATTACACAAACCATGCTGAGGCAGGAAACCACAATGGTTGGCTTCACAAAAACCCTCGACCAAGCCCAGGAGAAGAAGGCGGTCAAGCGCAGGCGGGGAAAAAAAAAAGGAACAAGCGCCTTTCCGTCGGTCCCGCTTGCTTTCCTCAGCTATTTGATCCGCACACCTGAGCAGGTGAGATGGTTCCACTCTCAGTAGCTGAGGCTCCCTAAAGAAGGTGTAAAAAAATCACAGGAGTAGAACATAAAAAGGGGGAAAGAGAAGTTGGTTTTCTTTCATGCAACCCAGCTAACGCTATCAGATTTAAAAATAATCCACACCCCACCCCACAAATATAAGATCGCAGAATAATAGGCCAACCCTCCAAGGGATCTTGGAGGTCTTCAAGCCCGACCCCTTTCTTCCAATACAAGTTGACTCCAGGAAATGACATTCTGCAATGCATCCTACACGGGAGATTCTTACACCTCCATTCCGAGGCCTCCAGCCCATCCAGGAACAAAATGCAAACATTCTGATTTCCATTTATTTTATCACTGGATATCCCTCCTGCTCATTTTATTTTCCTTCCACAAGTGCTCTTCCTTCCGTTCTTTTCGAGGAGAGATGTGCCCCTTTAAATATTTTTTCCCCCTCTGCAGAGAATTTATAAATAGGATATGCCTTTTTTTTTTCCTGTCTTTCTTCGGAAGCCTGTTGGGTTTTTTGTTTTTTGTTTAATCTTCCTCATTGTGGTTACGCTTGTAGGTGGGGAAAACCTAAACTTGGTGTTTCTTAAAAGAGAGACTAGTTCAAAGGAAAGGAAGACCAAAACTGTTGTGCGTTGTGGAAAGGTATAGATAAGCCCTGAAGTTGAAACAGTTTAGTGTGTGTGTGTGTGTGTGTGTGTGTGTGTGTGTGTTTAAATTGCTAATTGGTTTTTGTTTTTGGGTTAAGAAAAGATTCTAGTTAGAAAACATTCTGAGGTCTTTTTACGTGGGGGGAAAAAAAACAGACCAACCTCTTTTAGAAAGTGGAAAAACCAGAAATTTAATATCGGGCTCCCCAAATTAAGAATGTGGTTCCGTCGGTCTTACTTGAATGTGGTTGACTTGGGAAAAGGAGCTACATCTCAACCCCAGTTGTAGGCCCTGGGAATTTTGAGTTGACTAATTTGGCTGGCTTGGGCTTCCTTCCAACCTGTTGTATTTTGCTCTCACCTTGCCCTACTCGTCTTCCAAACTTGCTCTTAAAGGGTCTTGTGTGTTTCCCAGCCATGAAAAAGATCGTTTTTTTAAGCCGTGCAGACTACCTTGTGTGAAATGTAACGCCGTGCCTAGCAAGGACCATGTCGAGTTCAGAGAACAAACCAAGCAAATTCTCTCAAGCCATCATCTCTTTTCTTGCCAGCAGTGGCATATGTGTCTCTCCTTCCAAGACCAGTCCCAGACAGGTGAGTAAGGCCTTGTCTGAAGAGTTAAAAGGGGCTTCGTTAAAAAAGTATAATTTCCTTGGAGTCCATCTTGAGTCTGCTAGAAGAGTAGGAGAATAGAAGAACAGAGTCCTAAGGGACTTTGGAGGTCTTCTAACCCAACCCCCTGCTTAAGCAGCGGGAGACTTTATAACTCCAAACTTGGCAACTTTAAGACTTGTGGACTCCAAACCTGGCAACTTGTAGACTCCAAACCTGGCAACTTAAAGACTTGTAGACTCCAAA